AGGCATACTGAATAAGGTTGAAGGCCAGCGCCTCGTTTACCAGTTCACCTCTCTCCCCAAAGACATGATTTACATCACCGATGGAGATGGCATCAAAGAGGAAGACGACGAGGACCACGATGACAACAGCGTCAACGACGAAGGCTTGAGCGACGACTCTGACAGTACCGTATCGTCTAGTGACCATTCAGCGGAGGAGCAGGAAGATTCTCAGCCACCGCCAAAGAAATCGTCCCCGTCTCCGGCCGCACTCCCGCTTCACAGCGCACCAGGCCCGCTCCCAGGCCCTCAGCTCAGCGCGACACCGTCCTGCGTCCCACCAGCTCCAGTTTGATCCAGGAACAGCATCTGCCTATCGTGTCGGCTGAGATGCTACGCACGCTCCAGAACCTGCAAAAGGTCCAGTCTCTCAAACCCGCCGGTCATGCGTCAGTCTTCAAAACGGCTCAGCTGATGGGGAGTCTGTGCGAGCGGCAGGCCGCTGCCTCTGCCGAGGTAGCCATAGGGAGAAAAGGTGCGGAGATGCCCGAGAAAAAGTCGCACCCAGGACCAAAAACTCCACAGCTTATGCCTCTGATTAGCTCTGACCAATACAAATAACAGGTGCCCACTTTCTATTGAACACACAGATGCCTGTACACTCCACTGACTCAGGACCACTTACAGGGCTGCACTTTGCTATGACAATGCTGATTTAAAAACAAAGGGACTTTTGATGTAGAATATTATTTTAGATCATAAGTACAGATCAGTGCTTTCTCGCAGCGCTGACAGGAACCAAAATCTCACAGCAGTTTACCTTCTCAGCTTTGAAATCTGATCATTTCGCCTTATTGTCATTCTGTGTAGCCCTTGTTAAACCACACAAGACAGACATGCACTGGAATCTCTGGCCTCTCTGCACTGCTGCAGACACTTTCTCTGCTTGCACTTCAGCTCCAGTGTCCTGGAAGCAATTATCTTATCACCACACTGTGCCCTTCGTCTCTGCCTTTTGCTCTCACTTTCTCCTACGTTGTTTAGTTTTGTGTCTTTATGCTATCACGTGCTGAGCATTCCTTTGCCTTAAAAGTGGCTTTGCACTAATGTTTACCTTTGCTGTATATTTCTTCTGAAGTGCTGAAGATGTCAGTCCATCCTATTCCTGGTAATCATAAGGGAAAACATTCCATATTGTTTTGTTATTATTATTGTTGTTGTTTTTTAGATTGCTGCCTTTTTTTGTCTGCATTGTGAAATGTTGAAACAAGGGATCACTGTTATTTTTTTCAAAGTAGTACTTTAGCACTTGCGCTGTTTATTATTTGTTTATCGACACCATTGGACTCTTTTTTTCTATTTTCTTCATGACAATCACCAGTGAAGTGGCCTTGTAGCCACCCTGCCTCCTGTAAAATGACAGTGCTACTATTTAGCTTTTCCCTTGTGCATAGCTATCCATATATGAGTGCATATATTAAACTCAGATCCTCTATCTGTATGGTCTATTACGCACTGTAGGGCCTCAACATTTAAAACCACTGTGCTGGCTGAAGTGACATTGGTCATTTCGTTACAGTGCAATGTTTGGCTGGCATTCACGTGGGTTAGCATCGAGCTCAGCGTTGCAGAAGGCGCCAGCAGCGGCATCTCTGCACAAGCAGACCTACATATTACCAGGTGGTGGTTTTAATGTTTTGGCTGATCTTTGTTACTGTATACCTGTGAAAGCGCCTGACTTGTTCTTTTGATGCCATTTTTTTTCCTTCCCTCAGGTTTATAAAGCATTTTTGTGCTGCAATATTATGTACTCTATGCAAGAAGTAAAGTGAAATTGTTAGTTTATTATTTTTCTCTTTGGCCGGTCTTAGCGTAGGCTCACGAAGCTGGCTTACAAACTTCCACCTCACTCCAAATTAAAAAAAAAAAAAACGACTGAAAGTTAGGCTGGCTTTTTGAGAGGCTAACTTGGCAAAGAGATGCTTATAAGTAACTGTGCCTGCAGGGAACTCTTATGCAGAACTATTTTCCCTTTGTTAAACCATGTTTGTTTGTTTTGGGTTTTTTGCCCTTGCTTTTCAGTGTGTGTCCTGGTAATGTCTTACCTTAATAGATTTGTAAGCTTGTAGCAGAGTGAGCTCTGCTACAAGCTCCCTCCATGGAGCTTGTTTTTTTTATGCTGTATTGTGTTTGCTTTATGCAGTCCAGTGATGTTAAAGCTAATCGTCTATTATATGAAATAAATTTACATTTGTCATTGTGTGAAATCCATCATTGTTCCTTTGAAAGACTCGGAGCATCAGTAGACATGATGAGTGTATATGTCACATTTGAGCAGTGCGTTCGACTGCTGCTTTATTAGTAAAGGCCTAATGCAATGATACAGATCTGCCAGAACTACTTCTACAGAATTCTGACACGATCAGTTTGTTTTTCTTTTTTTTTGCTGTTGTCAGAAAGGTGTTAATTCTATTTCTGATTTGGCGAAGTTGTTTTTGGCTTAACACATTAACACTGAACAAGCTGATGTAGGTTTTTCCAACTGATACCATAGTTTGCATTCTGTTACCTTGTCAGAGGTCAAGCTCTGTGAAAATCTTGTGAATAAAGTAACTGAAGAAAAATGTCACATAGGCTTTTCAATTGATACCATTGAGGAGATTGTAGGTGGCTTAGGGTAGCAAATGGCGACCACCAGTCTTTTTAACATACCAATGGTGTAATCTGAGGTGGCAGAAGTGCAGATACCTCTGTTAAAAAGTGCTCTGGTAAAAGTTAAAGTACTGATTTGACTTCTTTACTCAGTAGAAGTGAAAAGTACAGGCTCTGAAATGTATCAAAGTAAAGTAGCTCTTTGGAGGACATTTCTAAACCAGATATTTTTGTGCAAAGCTAACTGAGCTATAGTAATATAATAAAGTGACAGTAGTACATGGCAATGCAGTCTTTATTATATAATTCCTGATCTAAATTTTATTTCTAATGAATGTATTCAACTTGAATCAAGTATGCAGAACATGAACATAGAAAAAGAAGAAGTTTATTTTGTGTTGCTGCGTGTAGAGGGTGACTTTCCTCTAAACAGAAAATGTGTTACAGTCAGGGGTTAACCCTCTCAGGTCAAATTAACTTTTTTGTTGCTAATGCACAACCAAGTCCTGCAGTGGTACTTCTGAGTAAAAAAAACTCATAAATGTGTATGTGGGGTAATCAGGTTGTTAGTTTTTAAACTGTTTCAAATTGGCACTGCCTGCTCGAGAGGGTTAAGTGGATTCTGCACATGGGGAAACCCCAAAATCCACTGTAGAGGTTTAGTGTGGGGAAAAGAATGAGAACTCACAATAATTTCTTCTGTGAGCTCCAGCAGATTTTCTTAGTGTACCGGCTGTGATCAGTTGACCTGTGGTCTTGTGGACATACGCAACAGATGTTACATGTTACACATACATAAGCATGTACAAGGATAGATAACACTAAATACTTAAAATGTCCCAGGGAAGATGAGTATTCTTCAGTCCAAATGTTTTCCTCTCCTGAGATCAGCAACAATATTTTAAACACATGCAGTGTAACTGGTAGTTATCTTTTGATCAAATAGCTACTTTACCCCTTGTTTTCCAGATGTGAACGTTAATAATGCAACGACTACTAGAATGGATGTCTTTTACAGTCTTGCATTATTTCCTTAAAGAGACGTGCAACACAAATTTGTCAACATTACAACCCACAGCCGATTCTCTGTCTTATTTCCGTTGTTCTCTGTCTGATTACAGATCCAGCTGATGTTGGAGCATTTCATCCTCCAATGAATCACTGGACATTTTTGTGCTCACATAATAGGTTCATTGTACCACAGCTTCACAGGAAGTCTGACTGAAGTCTGACTGAGTTTAGCCATGTCTCCGTAATTCTTTGATATATTGTATCATTTATGTGTCCTGACAGTCTGAGAAGTCTTAGTCTTTTGTGTTTATATTATATTAACCCATTTTTATTTTCATTAATGGTATTATAAATTTGTTGGTGGCTGACCGTACCCAGTTTCAATTTAAACGTTTCTATTCTTTGACAGATCTGCGGCCTAATTCGCTGTCCAGAAATCGTCTCTTAAAAAACAAAAAAACAACAAAAAGAAGTTATCGCTATTTTGCATAACTCCTCCGGGCCTTTAGGGGAGTAGAGGCAGTATGAGCTGTGCGCAGCCGGATGTTGACAGGCTCTCTGCTGTGTTTGAGCTGTAACTGTTACCGCTATCACGTTTCTCGTAGTCTCCACATCTAGAACTTTCCTGTCACTCCAGAAACAGTGCACATCCACAGAAGCAGATGGCAACCGAACGGTAAGTTCATCGAAATCTATCAATGAACTGTTCTTATAGCAGCAGACATTTCTTTTCTTTCGGTTATTTAACGCTAACTTGCTTTTTTGTTGCTTTTAGCAGCTTCCCGATAGCTTCATTGACGAAGATCCACAGAAAGCTCTGCAGGTAAAACACTAGTCTCAGTTAGCCACAAACAAGTTTGCGCGATGCACGGTGGCTCTTGCAGGATGTCCATTTAACGTTAAATTCAGTGGACTTACTCTAGAAAGGAATTGAGCAATACCCGTGGTGTTTGTGTTTCTGATATTACCAACAAGCTAGCGAAGTTAGCCAACATGTTTGCTAGCCCTATTTAGTTATGAATAAAAGTAATCCCAGAATCGCTTCGTTATCATATCA